AGTGGCTGTTGGTGCGACGGTCGTCTGCGCTGCGGCGGTTTGCGCGGTGTCTGTGTACATCGTGCGGCGGCGGATGCAAAGCTCAGGGAAATGGGCGCGCGTGATTGAGATCCTGAGGGTGTTTGAGGAGGATTGCGCGACGCCAATTGGGAAACTGAGACAAGTGGCTGATGCAATGACCGTGGAGATGCACGCGGGTCTCGCCTCGGAAGGTGGAAGCAAGCTTAAGATGCTTATCAGCTACGTTGATAATCTTCCTTCTGGGTAACTCTTCTTTTTTCCTTCAATTTTGGGATGTTTTTATTTGGTTGGTCAGATTTAGATAATACTTTGGATAACTGTTCTTCTGGGTAACTCTTCCTTTATCCTAATTAAGATATGTTTTTGGGATTTTATTTATTTATTTAGTTGGTCAGATTTAGGTAATTCTTTGGGTAAAGTTTCATGCTTTATGATGATTCCTTTTGATCAGGTCTCTGTGATTTTGATTGATTGCGATTAAAAGTTGTCGAATTTAATGAAGTTAGATGTGTATGGCATGAAACTGGTGATTTAGTTGGAATCAAGATCTGTTACTTTGAATTATAGTCTATATTTGTGAATAATCATGAGATTCATGACTCTGTAGGTTAAAGTTGTTGTGCCTTGAGTATCTTTTGCGTTGGAGTCACTGTCACTAGTTTATTTTTAAGGTTCCGATGCTGTTGATACATTAATCTTGAGATGTAAATGAATACAATCTTCGCCATCAATTTTGACAGGGAAGAACATGGTTTCTTCTACGCGCTGGACCTAGGAGGAACGAACTTCCGTGTCATGCGTGTGCTTCTTGGTGGCAAACAAGGCCGTGTTGTCAAACAAGAATCCGAAGAAGTCTCTATACCTCCTCATTTGATGACCAGCGGTTCAGATGTCAGTTAACTTTTCTGTTCATTTTATGTTTAGTCTTGGTTAGATCTATGTCTCTGTGTATTGATTATTTTCTTCTGCTGATTGTGGAGCCAGGAATTGTTCAATTTTATCGCTGAGGCGCTTGCAAAGTTCGTGGCTACTGAAGGCGAGGACTTTCATCTCCCAGAGGGTAGACAAAGGGAGCTAGGTTTCACTTTCTCGTTTCCGGTTAAGCAGACATCTTTGTCTTCTGGCACTCTCATCAAGTGGACCAAAGGCTTTTCCATCGAAGATACAGTTGAGCTTGATTACTATTTTCATATTATTTCAAATTTATTACACAAGGCGTCTACTATGCTTCTCAAGGCTGTAAATTTCATAAACCTTGTTTCTGCCTGTTGCTGGCCATGGTGTAGGTGGGACAAGATGTGGTTGGAGAGCTTGTTAAAGCTATGGAAAGAGTTGGGCTTGACATGAACGTCACAGCCCTTGTAAATTTTTCTCTTCTCTTTTTCTTTTTTTTTTCTTTCGAACCTAGCTTATGTCCTAATCTCTTTGTAAACTTTGTAGGTTAATGATACAGTCGGAACACTTGCTGGTGGAAGATACTATAACCCGGATGTGGTTGCTGCTGTTATTCTAGGAACTGGTACTAACGCAGCTTATGTCGAACGTGCACATGCCATTCCTAAATGGCACGGCTTACTTCCCAAATCAGGAGAAATGGTTTGTGTTTTCTTTTTGCAGCTTCCATTGATGCTTTGAACTAGTTGAATCTTACTATGTACTGCATTGTAGGTGATCAACATGGAGTGGGGAAACTTCAGGTCATCACATCTTCCGTTGACAGAGTACGACCACTCGCTGGATTTCGATAGTCTGAATCCTGGTGAACAGGTAACGAACACTGCTAGTTTCCTAGTTCTTCGGTTATACCTCACTAAGATTCTATCTGGCTTTTCACAGATTCTTGAGAAAATCATTTCCGGTATGTATTTGGGAGAGATCTTGCGTAGAGTACTTCTAAAAATGGCTGAAGAGGCTGCTTTCTTTGGTGACTCTGTCCCACCTAAGCTGAGAATACCATTCATCATAAGGTATGTTAACTTCTCTAAATACTTGCATCAATCAAATCAGAACTTCCTGGTATTCAAAAATAAATAAATAACAATCACGTAATGGTATGCAGGACCCCAAACATGTCTGCTATGCACAGCGACACTTCTCCGGATTTGAAGGTTGTTGGAAGCAAGTTAAAGGACATATTGGAGGTTAGAGTCTCCTATATGCACACTAACCTATTACCTATACGATGAAAGCTCTCAATGTTTGGGTGATCTTTTCAGGTTCCAACGACTTCACTGAAGATGAGAAAAGTAGTGATGAGTCTGTGTAACATCATAGCTAGCCGAGGAGCTCGTCTATCAGCTGCAGGGATCTACGGGATCCTCAAGAAAATAGGAAGAGACGCACCAAAAGATGGAGAAACACAGAAATCTGTGATAGCCATGGACGGTGGTCTCTTCGAGCACTACACACAGTTCAGCGAGTGTATGGAGAGCTCATTGAAAGAGTTGCTTGGAGATGAAGCGTCAGAGAGTGTGGAAGTGATTCACTCGAATGATGGGTCTGGCGTTGGAGCTGCACTACTCGCTGCCTCGCACTCTCAGTACCTCGAAGACTCTGAAACAAGTTAAGTAAAAAAAAGAAGGTTTCAACTTTCATGGCTCCAAGCATGGACTCTTTGTTTGCCTTTAGGGTTTAAACAAATAAAAGAGGGTAAAAAAAAGGTCAGCCCTTTTTAGGGAAGTTTTTTTTTTTATATTTTTGTTATCAAAGTACGAGAAACAGTAATAAACCCTGGATGATTTCTTCTTCAGGCTCTGGCAGATTTCAAGAATCAGCCAAATGTTGTAGAACTATATATATTTCCCAGTTCTATATCTATATATGATCAATTATTCATCAGTTGGTTCGAAAAGATATATGATCTTGAATTCATGATTCTCTCTCACACAGTCAAAAGTTTATTGATATAAGAAAGAGAAATTGGGCTGTATAACAAGGAAAAAAAGCATAATTGGATAAATAGTCAAAGATCCTATCTTTTCTATACATACATTTCATTTATGTAATAATGCTATTTTATCCCCAAAATCAATCGGTGTAACCTATTAAAAATAAAATAAATAAAATTAATTATTAATCCACTGCAAGTAACATGTGGCGTTTTGTAGAACCACATCATCTCTTTTTATTGCATATACTATTTATACATATAGAATAGAAATTTAAAAAATTTGTTACTATACTATTTAATATATACTATACTATGTATTTGTTTCATTCTATTTAGGTTTAAGGTTTATACTTAGGTTTAGAATTTAGTGATTAGGATTTAGGAGTTAATATTTAAAAGGTGTGGGTTGAGGTTTGGGTTTACTGACCCTATCATATATTGTTTCATTTGATGATTAATAAAAAGTGTTTTATGTGCTCATCATGTATTTTGTTATATTCTATTTGAGTTTATGATCTATATTTGGGTTTAGGGTTTAGTGATAAGGATTTAGGGTTTAGTATTTGGAAGGTGGGGTTTGAGGTTTGGGTTTACTAACCCTTTCATGAAGTGTTCCATTTGATGATTAATAAAAAGTGTTTTATGTGCTCATCAATAAGTATTATTCTATGTATTTTGTTCTATTCTATTTGGGTTTATGATCTACATTTGGGTTTAGGGTTTAGTGATAAGGATTTAGGATTTAGTATTTTGAATGTGGAGGTTGAGGTTTGGGTTTACTGATCATATCATGTATTGTTCTATTTGATAATTAATAAAAAGTATTTTATTTTGCTCACCAATATGTACTATTCTATGTACTTTGTTCCATTCTATTTGGGTTTATGGTCTATATTTGGATTTAGGGTTTAGTGATAAAAATTTAGAGGTTTGGGTTTAGTGATAGCAGTGATAAAAGAATATGTTTGTGGTAATTATGTGGGGATTATAATTTTATACTATTTTGACGATATGGAATAGAAGTTGAGATAATGTTTAGTATTTAGGATTGTGAGTTGAATTATAATTCTATACTATTTCGACAATATGGAATAGAATATTCGATATACCATATTGTGTGACGTGGATGTGATAGTAAATACACCACAAAAAGAACGATGTTATTTACTTTCTGATTTCTCACTTGCAACTAGAAATTTGTTAATTGAAAGGACAAAACCAGATGACTTATGATATAAATGTTTGACATTAAATTATGTAAAAAATCATTGCTATTCACCTAATTTACCTATATTTTCAAATATAGGTAGTTAGGGCTGGGCATTTTATTCGTTAAATTTGATTCGATTCGTTATTCGTCTCA